AGCCCTCGGGGACCTGCGTGGTGCGAGGTCCTCCTCCCTCTCAGCGACTCTATGGGACTCACACACTGCTGTCCATCTAATTGGCTCAATATTAACTGTCCTGAGCTCAGCCCTCACCGTGGGCCCCTGTTAGGAAGCCTTTCTCCCTGAGGGCATGACGCTGCCCTGGTAAGGGACTGCAAACAGAGGGGAGCTCACCTTCTGAGTGCACCACCTGCTGAAGCCCAGGTGTCCCTGCATCTCGGTGCCAAATGAGTACAGACAGCTGGTGTGTGGGCTGCCCCTGCTCGGGAGATGTGAGAGAGGATGGGGAACGGGTACGAGCTAGTCCAGGCCAGTGATGACCTCAGCTCAGCTGGATCCAGCCCCAGCAGCTCCACCCAGAAGCAACTCAAGTTCAGCCTCAGGACTCCAGGAACCCAGATCATCTGGACCCTGCTATTGCCAGAACAGGGGAGTGTGGGGGTCCATGCTGCAGACCCTGGGCCTAGAGGGGACGAGACCTTGAAGCAGAGCCTGGAGCCTATTCAGCCTGTGGCTGGTGGAATCCGGCAGGCTCACGTTTAGTTTCCTTCCCTGTTTTTAATGTATTTCTTCTTAGTTTTTCCTTATTTTTTTTTACTTTTTCATTCAACATATTGAGGTGACATTGGTTATTAATATCATATAGGCACAGGTGGATAATTCCATAATGTATCTTCTGTTCCTAGTATTTACTAACACCCCATTGTGTGGCTGTGTCACATTCATCCATACATCAATGGACAGATGTTTGGGTGTTTCTATTTTTGATGGTGAGATCACTACTGTGAATACTGGTTATGCTTTTTTTTTGTTGGAACATACGTATTTTGGGGACATGCCTGGGAGTGGAATTGCTGGGTCACAGGGTAGTGTCTGTGTGTCACTGTTAGAAGAAAATGCAGACTGATCTCCACGATAGCAGTTTCATTGCAGGTTCCCAAAAGCAAAGTGTAAGCTTTCCCATTTCTCCTCATAGTGACCTGCATTGTTATTCTCCATGAAAAATATTACAGGTCACTAGTGGGAGTGAAGGGCTATTTCAGCACACCTTTGATTTGCACTTCTGTGTAAAAACAGTGAAGTCATTTATTTTCCTGTGGAGTTACTGTCCATTTGTATTCATCTCTGAAGACAATTTTTTCAAGTCCTTTACCCATTTTATAAAATTAATTTGTTTAGAACAGGCCAACCCTTTGCACATTTTTAATTGGGTTGATTGACTTTTTGTTGTTGAGTTTTAACATTTAAGATTTGTTTAAGATTTGTTTTCTAAATTGATTTCAGATTTGTTTAAGATTTGTTTTCTAAATTGATTTCAGAGAGATAGGAGGGGACAGAAAGCAAACCATCAATTTGTTGTTACACTTATTGATGGATTCATTGGTTACTTCTTCTATGTGCCCTGACCAGGGATCAAACCCCCAGCGTTGGCACTTTGGGATGATGCTCTAACCAACTGAGCCACCAGCCAGGATGGTAAGAGGTCTTTCTATGTGCTGGATAATAAGCCTTATCAGATCTATGATTAGGAAATATTTCTCCCATTCAATGGGTTGTTTTTCACTTTCTCCATAGAGCTAATTATTGAACAGAATGTTTTCTTTCGATGAATTCCAACTGAGGCCTTTTATTTTCTGTCCCATTTCAGGGGGTCAGGTCAGGTTCAAGGGTAAAGGCACAGGCAGTCCCTAGTCTATGGATGCAGGAAGGCCTGGAGGATGACCTCCAGGTTCCCAGTGGAGCCAAAGGACACGGGATTGCCATTGAGCAGGTGATGCCCTCCTTGTCTCTTTCCTACAGGGGAATCAGGGTCTGGGGCAGTGGTAGTGCTGGTGGCCATTGTGGAAGCAGCTGCTAAGACCCTGCTCCTCCTATTCTCCCTCATTGTCCTCAAGTAGGCCCTGCCCCAGGGGGAAGGGAGGGGAGGGGAAGGTGAGGGGTCCACATCTGAGTGCAGGACCAGGGCCAGGGATGCCCTCCCTTCCTGTCATGATTCAATAAGTCACTAAGTCTCGTCCACCCTTCCTCCTTAGCACAGCTCAGCTCAATGCCCATCTCCTCCCCATCCTGACCCTGGTCATTCCTACGGCCTCATCTCTTCTTGGGCCTCTAAACCCAAAAAAGTCCTGACTCTACCTCTGTTCTCACTTAGGCCTCCTGGTTGTGTTTGCAGACTCCTCTCCCGGGTTCTGCATGGGATGAACAGTGACATTTCCTCTTCATGGCCAGAGACTGGGGGAAAACTTTACAGACAGGATGTAGGGCTATAGTGGCCTGTGCCCTGCTGGACTCTCCACTGGATTCCACCCTTTTCTGGAATCTCACACCATTCCCCCCGCAGCCTGGCCAGGGTCTTTGTGACTCTGAGACATTGCATGTGCAGTTCCTCCTGCTGAAATACTCTTCCTTTCAAATTCTTATATCTCCAAGTGTGTGTGTAATTCTTACTTGGTTTTGAAGAAAATAATACGTACTTGTTTATTTATAGTCCTTTTAGTAGTGTGACTGAACCCCTACTGTGGGAAGTCTTGTAGACTGGGGATTTGTTTGTGAACCCAGCACCAAAATCCATTAATCCAAAAGCTGTCATTCTGGAGACAAGAGGATAGAATTTAAATCACTGAAGATACTAGAGCACTGAGCCACAGAAGGGAGGGCCTGTGTTTCAGGGACCAGAGAGGAGTCTTGAGGGCGATGTTCATTCTGAGAAGCAACCTCATGACCACTGGGGCACATGAGCGAGAGAGTTGGTGTGAACAGTGGAGATGAGGAGGTGGTCAGGACTGGAGATGGGGGCACAGGTGTCAGTGTGAGAAGGTGGCTGTGGTGAGGTGGCCCTGGTGGCCCACAGGCTCTGGTGGCCCACAGAGAAGAGAAAACACAAGAAAACATGTCCTCACTGGGTCTCAGTGTTTGGTGGGAAATTGTGAAGATGTGATTGGAACAGGACCAGGAAAGAACTGGAGGAGGGGATATGGGATCCCAGGGTCCAGAAAACCCTCTGAGAAGTTTGTCTACAAAGGGAACAGAGGAGTGGGTCTGCAGGAGGAGGACATTTTTCAGCTTCTTCTCTGCTTTTCCCCAGAGGTTCCCCATGAATTCCTGCCTGTGTTGCTTTCCTGAGGCCATTGAAACAAATTACCATACACTTGGGGCCTTTTTTTGTAAAGTTTTATTCTCTTGGTCCTTGGGGCCAGAACTTCATGCAGGAAGTAAAATATCTTCTCATTCTGCCTTTCCAAGTTCTTGACTGAGACTCCTGCAACAGAGAAAGACTGGTTGTCACACCTGGGAGTCAGATGTACTGAACCCTGTGATGAGAAATGAGTTCAGAGGTGTGAAAATCGAGTGCTGAGTGGGACTCACACCCTCAGAGACTGGAGGGGAGAGTCTACCTTTGTGATTCCCAGGGGTTGGGGCTCTTGACCATCCTTGGTTGATGTCTGGGTCACTACAGCCTGTCCCCTGGGCACACTGCCTCATCCTGCTCTGTGTGCAGAGAGTAATCTGTTGTGTCTCCCTAGGAGGACAACTGTGACTGCATTCAGGGATGAACCCTGACAAAGGAGGATCCTCTCCAGGTCAATATCCTCACCTGCATCCTATCTGCAAAGACCCTTTTCCTAATCAGGTAATGTTTGCAGGTACCAGGCACTCTTTGGGTGGCCAATATTCACCCTCTGCACTGCCCATGTGAACTGGTGCCCTCATGAATGCCCCCATGTGGCCTCCAGGCTTAGTTTGCCTTGTTCTCCCACATCCTGATGCAGTAGAGGATCACACCATGAGGGACACATGTCTGGGGAACAGGGGCTTGCTGTTGTAAAAGAGCCCCTATTAAGAGAGTTAAAGGAAAATTTACAGACTTAGAGAAAAATATCTACAATATAGACTTCATGAATGACTTGAATCCAGAATGTATCCAAGATATTAATGTGAAGCAATAATTTAAAATAAATCCCAATGTAGAAAAATAGTCATTAACAAAAACAACAAAAAAAGCCAGAAAGAACCCTGCTTTCAATTTTCCCAGTTATTTGAATAGACATTTCTATTTAGATGTACAAATGGTCAACAAATACATGAAAATATGTTCAATATTACCAATATGAGATATATTTAAACTAAATCACACAGGGAAGTTTCACCATGATTCTGTGAGTGATTATTACAGGAAAACTAAAAAAGGAGACAAGAACTGTGGGAAAGAATAAGAAGGAAACTGACTTCTTTGGATTTGCTATCCACTATAAGGCTGTGCATCTCCTTTGGAAAACAGCCTTGCAGTTCCTCAGCATGTTCAATTTTTAAAACACCCTACACTTGTATTTTTAAAATAAAACCAGCATGTGAGCAGGAAACGTGGTCAACTCCTCAGTGAACACAGCTTTCCTGTGTTGGGAGGGAGGGATGTCTGTGGTGGGGACATTCTCAGGGACACAGAGCAGGTCCACGGGTCCCCTCTTGTCTTGTCTTCAGCCAACTGACACTTAGATGGTCACCGAGTGCTTGTGAATGAATGAATGAATGAATGAGTGCTGCCTTCTCCTCACAGGGACCCCCTCCTCCCTTCCCTCTGACTCTCACAGGAACGTTAGGAGTCCTATACCCTGTGGGACTCAGCACATTGCTCAGGTGAGGCTCTGACCTCCTGCTCAGGCAGGAGATGACCAGCCCCTCTAATGGGGGTCCTTAGGAGACTCACATGTCTGGCCTCAGGGGTCCTAGTGCTGCCCCAGTGCTGCAGGGGAGCCACAAAGGGGCTAGCACTCAGGGTCAGCTCCCTGTCTGCTCTTCTCTGGGTGGATGGCCAGTATCTCTGGGTGGCAGGAGTGTTTTCCAGTTCTATGCAGAGAGGGTGCACTTTGGCTCTGAGGTTCCTCTTTTATAAACAAACAAGATCTCGTGCTCCTCCCAGCTTCTGTGGTCTCCCCACAGCCCCCTCCTACCTCCTTCATTCTTTTTCACCCATAGGAGCCAGACACCCTCCTTGTCAGCGATGCTGCTGCTTTTCCTGTTGGCCCTGCTGTGGGCAGGTGAGAGCCTGAGGGGAAGGCTGTGGGTTGGTGAGGGCAGCTGCTGACCCTGCTTTTTCCCCAGGGTCCCTGGCTCAGGACAGAGGATACCAGGTGGCATTTCAGGGGCCTGTGACAGTGCAGGAGGGCCTGTGTGTCTCTGTGCTCTGCTCCTTCAACTACTCGAAGAACAACCGGTATTATGCTCCCCCCACTTATGGCTACTGGTTCCGGGATGGGGCTAAAACAGACTGGGATGCTCCAGTTGCCACAAACAACCGAGATCGAGAAGTGCAGGAGGAGACCCAGGGCCGATTCTTTCTCTCTGGGGACCCCAGGAACTACAACTGCTCCCTGGAAATCAGAGATGCCAGGAGGACAGATGGTGGATCGTACTTTTTCCGGGTGGAGGGAGGAACTGTTGTAAAACATTCTTTCATACAGGATAAGCTCACTGTGCATGTGACAGGTAAGGAAGTGTTCCCTGGATAGGCCACAGTGGAAGTTCACAGTGGCCCCGGGGTAGGGCTGGCATGGGCCCATCCTGAGAGGGGGAGGGGGAACAGCATGGTGGGGCTCAGAGGGAGGAGCTGGACCAAAGCCTGAGGTATCTCTCAGGGCCACACCTTGGACCCTCTTTTTGATCCCCTGTCCCCACTTCTCCTCACCAGCCTTCAACCACACACCTGACATCCTCATACCAGAAAACCTGGAGTGCGGCCGCCCCATGAACCTGACATGTTCTGTGCCCTGGGCCTGTGAGCGGGGAACGCCCCACCTCTTCTCTTGGACGTCAGCTGCTCACACCTCCCTGGGCCCCAGGACACAACTGTCCTCCATGCTCACTCTCACCCCACGGCCCCAGGACCATGGGACCAACCTCACCTGTCAGGTGCAGTTTCCCTCAGTGGGTGTGACTGTGGAGAGAACCATCCAGCTCAATGTCACCTGTGAGTGCTGGGTCAGAACAGCAGGGTCCCTGAGGGTGTGGGAGCAGGAGAGCCAGGCTGCTGTGCAGGTGCCTTTGTCTTAGAGGCCTGGCTGAGCAGGAGACCCAGAGGGCACAGCCCTGTGTGTCTTACATTACTGTGGTCTCTAAGGATGGGGGATGGGGAGTTACCTACACATGTCTCACCCCATCCCACCCTCTCTTCCTGTCCCAGGTGCCCCCCAGAACCCACCAATTGGTGTCATCCCAGGAGACGGCCCAGGTAGGAAGGAGCCCTTTATGGGCTGCAGGCCTCTTCCAAGTCAGGGCAGGGCCAGGAGTCTCCCTCACCCTGGTTCACCTGGGTGCCCAGCACCCTAAGAACAGAGTGCTCCTTCTTCTAACTCCTCCCCCTGGCCCCTGTGAGCAGTTGTAAAACTGGCCACCCCCATCCCGAGGACTCTCCAGCCCCTGTCAGCCACACCAGGAGAACAAGGCACCTCCCACATGCAGAGCAGCCTCTCGGGGCTCCTGATAGACCTTCTCTTGATGAGTCCCCCGGGCTCACAGTTAGTTTTTGTCCTATCATCTTCAATGTCTTTATTCTTAACTTTTTCTTTATTGTTTTACTCTTTCATTCAATGTATTGAGATGACATTAGTTATTAATATCATATAGGCGCAGGTGGACAATTCCATAACACAACTTCTGTACATAGTATTTGATAACACTCCATTGTACCGATGTGTCACATTCATCCATTCATCAGTAGACAGACATTTGAGTGTTTCCACTTTTTGATGGTGAGAACATTGCTGTGAATATTGGTTATCTTTTTCTGTTGGAAAATATGTATTTTGGGCACATGCTTGGGAGTGGAATTGCTGGGTCACAGGGTAGTTTCTTGTGTCACTGTTAGAAGAAACTGCAGAGTGATCTTCATGGTGGCAGCTTCATTTCAGGTTCCCAAAAGCAAGTCTAAACCTTCCAATTTCTCCTCACAGTGACTTGTATTGTTATTCTCCTTGAAAAATATTATAGGTCACAAGTGAAGGGCTATTTCAGCACACCTTTGATTTGCATTTCCATGTAATAACAATGAAGCCATTTATTTTCCCATGCAGTTACTGCTCATTTGTATCCACCTTTGAAGACAATCTTTTCAAGTCCTTTACCCATTTTTTACTGGGGTTATTTTACTTTCTGTTGTTGAGTTGTAAGAATGTTTTTTGTTTAAGATTTTTATTGTAAATCAATTATAGAGTGAGGGAAGGAAGAAATAGAGAGAGATATTGATTTGTTGTTACACTTATTTATGGATTCATTGGTTGCTTCTTGCATGTGCCTTGACCACAACCTTGGCACTTTGGGATGACACTCTAATCAAATGAGCCACCAGCCAGGACTGTAAGACTTGTTGATATGTGCTGGGTAAAAACGTTATCAGATCTACCATTAGCAAACATTTCTCTAATTAAATGGGTTGGCTTTTCACTTCTTCCATAATGTTAATCAATGAACACAATGTTTTATTTTGATGAATTCCAACTGAGGCCTTTTATTTTATGTCCCACTACAGGGGGTCAGGGCAGGTTCAAGGGTAAAGGCACAGGCAGTCCCGAGTCTATTGATGGAGGAAAGCCTGGAGGACGAACTCCAGGTTCCCAGTGGAGCCGAAGAACACGGGATTGCCATTGAGCAGATGACTCCTTCCTTGTCCCTCCTTTCTGTAGGAAAATCAGGGCCCAGGCCAGTGGTGGTTTTGGTGGCCAGTGTGGAAGCAACTACTAAGACCTTGGTCATCTGCCTCTGCATCATCATTCTCATGTGAGCTCTGCCCCAGGAGGGAGGGAGGGAAGGGGAGGGCAAGGGGATCATGGCTCAGTCCAGAACCAGGGACAGGGACACTGATGAATCAGAGCTTGTGCTGGCAAGAAGTGAAGGGGTGGTGGGTGAGGACCCCACATGCACAGCCATCATGAGTGTCCAGGCTGGGAGGCACCTACTGTGCTCAGCATAATCTGTGAGACTTGCCCTCCCCCACTTCACTCTCTCCTCTATCCCTTGAGAAAGAAACAGGGGGTTGGCCCTGCTGCCCACAGCACCCTGATCCAACCAGCCTGGAAAACCCTGGTCTCTTCTCTCAGAGTCAGGTACCACAGGAGGAAGGTGACAAAGCTCACAAGGGGCATGAAAGATACAAACAAGGAATCGGGTTAATGTCCCAGGTGAGTGATCCAGGACTCTCACTACCCAACATTTCAGTGACACCACCTCCAGGATGGTAGTAAGCTGGGATTGCCCTGCTTACTGTGGTTAGAGCAGAGCTGCCACCTTCCTCCCTGAGCCTACTTCTTTACTGGGTCCTGGTCACACAGATGACAAAGTGCCCTCCCTTCCTTCTTTGTGATTTAGTAAACCACTAAGTGTTGTCCACCCTTCCTCTTTATCACAGCTCAGCTGAATGTCCATCTCCTCCCCATGCTGGCCCTGGATGTTCCTGGGGCCTCATCTCTTCCTGGGTCTCTGCACCCATCAGTGTCCTACTTCCACCTCGGTCCTCAACCCAGGCCTCCCAGCTCTGTTTGCAGACACCTGTCATCCATGTCCCACATGGTTTGATCAGTGACGTTTCCTCTCCACGGCTGGGGACGAGGGACAAACTCCATAGGATGATTTAAGCCGGGCATGGACTGTGCCCTGCTGGACTCTCCAATGGATTCCACCCTCTTCTGGAATCTCACACCAACTCCAAACCCAGCTGGGCCAGGGCCTCTGTGACTCTGAGACTGCATGTGCAGCTCCTCCTGCTGAAATGCCCTTCCCTTCAGATTCCTATGTCTCCAAGTGTGTGTGTAATTCTTATGTGGTTTTGAAGAAAATAATACTTACTTGTTTATTTATAGTCTCTTTACTAGTGTGACTGAACCCCTACTGTGTGCAGTCTTGTAGACACTGGGGATGCGGCTGTGAACACAGCACCAAAAATCCATTTCGTCCAGAAACTGTCCTTCTGGAGACAAAAGGGTGAAATTTAAGTCACTGAAGCCACTACAGCACTGAGCCACAGAAGAGACGGCTTGTGTTTCAGGGACCAGAGAGGGGTTTTGAGGGGATGTTCATTCTGAGAAGCCACCTCATGACCACCGGGGCACATAAGTGAGAGAGCAGGTGTGAATGATGGAGATGAGGAGATGGTCAGGACTGGAGATGGGGGCACATGTGTCAGTGTGAGAGGGTGGCAGTGGTGAGGGAGGACACAGAGAAGAGAAGACACAATAAAACACATCATCACTGGATCTCTGTTGGTGGGAATGGTGTGAAGATGGGATTGGAGCAGGATCAGCAGAGAATGGGAGGAGGGGATATGGGAACTCAGGGTCCAGAAAACCCTCTGAGAAGTTTGCCTGCAAAGAGGAACAGAGGAGTGGGTGTAGTGAAGGAGGTCTTTTCTCAGTTCTTTCTGCTTTTCCCCAGAGGTTCCCCATGAATTCCTGCCTATATTGCTTTCCTGAGGCCATTGAAACAAATTACCACACACTCAGGGCCTTTTATGGTAAAGTTTTATTTTCTTGGTTTTTGGGGCCAAAAGTTCATGCAGGAAGTAAAATATCTTCTCATTCTGTACTTCTAACCTCTAACCTCTTGGCTGAGGCCCCTGGAACAGAGTAGGACTAGTTGCCACACCTTGGGGTCAGATGTTCTGAACCCTGTGATGAGAAGAGTTCTGAGGTGTGGAAATCCCGTTGTCGGTGGGACTCTCATCCTCAGAGATTAGAGGGGAGAGTCCACCTTTGTGATTCCCAGGGACCAGGGCTGTTGGCCACCCTTGGTTGGTGTCTGGGTCACTACAGCCTGTCTCTTGGCCACACTGCCTCCTCCTGCTCTGTGTGTAGAAGGTCACCTGCTGTGTATCCCTTAGAGGACATGTATGACTACATTCAGGGACGAACCCTGACAAAGGAGGATCCTCTCCAGGTCAATATCCTCACCTCCATCCTATCTGCAAAGACCCTTTCCTGATCAGGTAATGTTTGCAGGTACCAGGCTCTTTTTGGTTGGCCATATTCAGCCTTGGCACTGCCCATGTGACCTGCTACCCCCCATGAATGTCCCCATGTGGCCTCCAGGCTTAGGCTGCCTTGTTCTCCCACATACTGATGCAGTAGAGGGTCACCCTGTGAGGGACACATGTCTGGGCAACAGGGGCTTGCTGTTGTAAAAGAGCCCCTATTAAGAGAGTTAAAGGAAAAGTTATAGACTTAGAGAAAAATATCTACAATGTAGACTTCATGAATGACTTGAACCCAGAATATATCCAAGATATTTTTATAAAGCTATAATAAAAAAAAATTCCATATAGAAATGCGGTCATTAACAACAAGAAACAGAAAGTACCCTACTTACAATTTGGTCAATTATTTGAATAGACATTCCTATAAAGATGTACAAATAGTCAATAAATACATGAAAGTATGTTCAACATTACCAATATGAGATAAGTTTAAATCAAATCACACAAGGAGGTTTCACCATGATTCTGTAAGTTGACTATTATCAAAAAATTAAAAGACAAAAGAAGAACTGTGGGAGTGAGTGAGAAGGAAACTGACCTCTTCTGATTTGCTGTCCACTGCAAAGCTGTGCATCTGCTTTGGAAAGCAGCCTTGCAGTTACTCAGCATAAAACACCCCACACTCATATGTTTAGAAAATACTAGCCCTGGCTGGCATAGCTCAGTGGATTGAGCGCAGGCTGCGATCCAAAGTATCGCAGGTTCAATTCCCAGGCAGGGTACATGCCTGGGTGGAAGGCCATAACCCCAGCAACTGCACATTGATGTTTCTCTCTCTCTCTCCCTCCCTCCCTTCCCTCTCTAAAAATTAAAATAAAATAAAATCTTAAAAAAATTTTTTTAAAAAGAAAATACTTAGAATGGGAGCAGAGACGTGGTCAACTCCCCAGTGAACACAGCCTTCCTGTGTTGGGGGCGGGGTGTCTGTGGTGAGGGCTGTCTCAGAAACACAAACCAGGTCCATGGGCCCTCTCTTGTCTTGTCTTCAGCCACTTAGTTCCTACCAAGGCTCCCCTTCAGCCACTAACACTTAGATGCTCACCAAGTACTTCTGAATGAATGAATGAGTGAGTGAGTGAGCACTGCCTTCTCCTCACAAGGACCCCAACTCTCCCCAACTCTCACAGGAAAATTACAAGCCCTACACCCTGTGGGACCCAGCACGGCTGCCAGATGAGTTTCTGACTCCTGCTCATGCAGGAGATGACCAGCCCCTCTGATGGGGGCCCTTTGGAGACTCATGTGTCTGTACTCAGAGGTCCTTGTCCTGCTCTGGTGCTGCAGGGGAGCCCCGAGGTGGGCAAGACTCACAGTCAGCTCCCTGTCTGCTCTTCCCTGGGCACCAGCATGTCTGGGCTGTGGGGTGTCCCTGGTTCTGTGCAGAGAGGAACACAGTTTGGCTCTGAGGTTCCTCTTTTGCAAATGGCCAGCAGAAGCCAAGATCTCATGCTCCTCCCAGCTTCTGTGGTCTCCCCACAACCCCCCTCCCACAGCCCCCCTCCCACTGCCTTTATTCTTTTTCACCCACAGGAACCAGACCTCCTCCTAGACAGCGATGCTGCTGCTGCTGCTGCTGCTGCTGGCCCTGCTGTGGGCAGGTGAGAGCCTGAGGGGAAGGCTGTGTGTGGGTGAGGGCAGCTGCTGACCCTGCTTTCCCCACAGTGACCTTGGTTCAGATATCAGGTGACCCTACAGAGGTCTCTGATGGTGAAGGAGGGCCTGAGCCTCTCTGTGCCCTGCTCCTTTTTCTACTTGAGGAACAACTGGAAGTATGCCACTCCTGCTTATGGCTACTGGTTCTCGGAAAGGGCTAATGAATTACAAGATCCTCCTGCAGCCACAAACAACCGAGATCACCAAGTGCAGGAGGAGACCCAGGGCCGATTCCAGCTCCTTGGGGATCCTGGGAACTGCAGCTGCTCCCTGCACATCAGAGACCAACAGACAGGGAACAGACCCAGGGAGATACTTCTTCAGGTTGGAGAGAGAGTCCTATGTGAGACATAATTACAAAAAGAACCAGCCTGCCTGGGTGTGATGGGTATGGATCCTGCTGCAAGAGAAGCCACAGGGACATTCAAAGTGGCCCTGGGACAGCACTTGGATGTCCTTATCCTGGGAGGGTGTTGTGGGTACAGCATGTTGGGGCTCAGAGGGAGGACTTGTACCAAAGCCTGAGGTTCCCCTCAGGGTCTCAGGTGGAACACCCCTTCCTGATCCCCAGATGAGGGTAAAAATAAATAAATAAAATGGTTCATAGACTGAATACACATGAGCAACTTGTGCCCAGATCAAGAAGCACACCCTTACCTGAACCCCTAGAAGGGCCCCCCTGCCATCTTCCCATCACTTCCCCCTCAGGGTGACCAAGCTCCAGATTTCTAGTACCAAAAATGAGGTTTTGTTAGAAAATATATTTTATTTGTTTTTATACAGAAGGGAAGGGAGGGCATAAAAGAGGAAGAGAAACATCGATGTGTTGTTGCCTCTCCCGTGGCCCCCACTGGGGACCTCGCTCACAACCCAGGTATGTGCCCTGACTGGGATTCAAACTCATGAACCTTTGCTTTGCAGCCCATGCTCAATCCACTGAGATACACCAGCCAGGGCCCAAAGATGAGTTTTGTCTGCTTCTGAACCTCATGTTAATGGTATCACACAGCACATCCTCTTTGTGTGTGGGTTCTTTTCCTCAACATAGTGTTGGTAGGATTCACATGCTTGGTGCAGGGTTGTTATTTGCATCTTCCACTGTGTCAATAATCTGCACTATGTGGACCTGTAGATGGGAATTTGGGGAGGTTGCATTGCTCAGCCCTCACAGGGAGTGCTTCTGGGGACCTCCAGGTGCACGTTTCAGGGCATTTGCACACTTCTGTGTTAGCTCTGCCCCCCGGGGTGGAAGTGCTGGCTTGTATGCTCAGTGTTTCCCAAGAGGTTGTCCCAGTTCTCCTCCCCATCAGCATGTGCCCAAGTCCCAGTGGCTCCACATCCCAACCAACACTTGATTGTCTTTCAAAATGTTTTGATTGCTCTAAGGCACACACAACATAAAACTCTTTAGCTATTTTTAAGTGTACACTTTAGTGGCCTTCAGCACATTCACTTTGTGCAACCATCACTACCATCCACCTCCAGAAGTTCTTTCTCACCCTGAACTGAAATTCTGTACCCGTTGAACACAAACAGCCTACCTAGTCCCTCAGTCTCAAGCCTCTGATAACCACTATATGCTACTTTTCTTTATTGTGGTTAAAAACACATAATCCTTTGTATCCTGCTGTTTTCCCAAATTAATTTATTACATCAAGTAGTCTTTTGGCTGAGTCTATAGAATTGTTTATGTACACTATCATGTCATCTTCAAACATTGACAGTTTTGTTTCCTCCTTTCTAATTTGGATGCCTTTTATTTCCTTTTCTTGTCTGATCACTGTGGCTAACACTTCCAATACTATATTGAATAGAAGTGGTGAGAGTGGACAGCCTTGTCTTGTTCCTGATCTTAGTAGAAAAAATTTTAGTTTTTTGCCCATTGAGTATGATGTTGGCTATAGGTCTGTCATATATGGCCTTTATTATGTTGAAGAATAACAACAAACAACAAGTGTTGGAGAGGTTGTGGAGAAAAGGGAACCCTAGTGCACTATTGGTGGGATTGCAGACTGGTACAACCACTATGGAAAACAGTATGGAACTTCCTCAGAAAACTAAAAATGGATCTGTCTTTTGACCCAGCAATTCCACTGCTGGGATTATATCTGAAGAACCCTGAAACACCAATACAAATGACCCTATGCACCCCAATGTTCATAGCAGCACAATTTACAATAGCCAAGTGCTGGAAGCAACCTAGATGCCCATCAGTAAATGAGTGGATCAAAAAACTATGGTACATTTACACAATGGAGTTCTATGCAGCAGAAAGAAAGGAGCTCCTACCCTTTGGAACAGCTTGGATGGAACTGGAAAGCATCATGCTAAGCAAAACAAGCCAGGCAGTGAAAGACAAATACCATATGATCTCACCTTAAACAGGAACCTAAACAACAAAACAAAGAAACAAGCAAAATATAACCAAAGACACTGAAATAGAGGACAGGCTGACAGTGACCAGAGGGGAGAGGAGAGGGAATTTCAGGGGAGAGTGAGAAGGGTTTATAGGAACAAATATAAATGGCACATGGACAAAAACTAGGGAGCGTAGTAATGGGAGGGAGGTGGGGAGGGCTAGGTGGGTGGGCTGCAATGGGAGTAAAAGGGAGAAAACTGTACTTGAACAATGATTAAACTAAAAGAAAAACAAAACCAAAAAACAACTATGGTACATTTACACAATGGAATTCTATGCAGCAGAAAGAAAAGAGTTCCTACCCTTTGGAACAGCATGGATGGAGCTGGAAAGCATCATGCTAAGTGAAATAAGCCAGGCAGTGAAAGACAAATACCATATGATTTCACCTTTAACAGGAGCCTAAACAACAAAACAAACAAACAAGCAAAATATAACCAAAGACACTGAAATAGAGAACAGGCTGACAGTGACCAGAGGAGAGAGGGGAGGGAATTTCGGGGGAGAATGGGAAGAGTTTACAGGAACAAACATAAAGGACACATGGACAAAAACTAGGGGGTGTGGAAATGGGAGAGAGGTTAGGAGGGAGCGGGGAGGGCAGGCTGGGATGGGAGTAAACAACAGAAAACTCTACTTGAGCAATGATTAAAATAAAATTAGAAAAAAAGAAAAAAAAACATAAAATCCTTCACTATTTTCAAGTGCACAGCACAGTGGTGTTGAGTCTGCTCATGTGGTTGTCCATGATTCTCTAGAGTGTCTTCATATTGCAAAACTGAAACTCTGTAGCTACTTCCCATGTCTCCTCCCCAGGGGCCCTGTGCCCTCTGTTTCTCAGAGTTTAATGGCAGTAGATACAGGGTGTAAGTGGGGTCACAGTGTCTGTCTTTCTGTGACTGGCTCTTTTTTCACTCAGTGCAATGTTCTCAACACCTACTATTTTTCATATTCCTTTTATTTTCACCAGTGTGGTGCTGCATGGTGGTGGAGCAGTGCAGATTCTATTTGCAGTTCCCTGATCGCTGCTGAAGCCTGCAGTTTTTCCATGTGCTTATTGGCCCTTGGAATATCCCATTTTTTTTCCTGAGTTGTCTGCCTTCTCTCTTTGATTTTTGGAAGATCTTTACACAGTCTTTATTCACTCTGGATGAACCCTTTGTTACATACATGTATTGGGAAATATCTTTTCCTGCCAAAAAGTTACATTTAGAAATAGAAATATTTTTAAATAGTACAAGTTCCTCTCCACCCAATGGTGATAACACATGTTCTTAAAAATAGTCAACGAAGCAGAAGATAGAGGTAGAGCCAAAAGTGACATCTCCCTCTGACCTGAGGTGAACTTAGTACACAACAATGTCCTTAATGCCAATGGTGCATGTTTTCTCACTTAACAATGTAGGTCACCAAATTATCCCCCACGTTACAGAGCAGGAAACTGAGGCACACAGAGATAAAGTGACTTGCCTGCTGGAACACCCTCAGTAAGTAGCTGAGCCTGGATTTGAACCCAGGAATCTCTGCCACCTCAGCCACTCCAAGGAACTTCATGTTTCCATTCATGACCTTTGGCTCAGAGGGCTGTTACCTGTTTAAGAATCAGACCTTGACACACCTTTCTTTTTGGAGATGCCTTTACTGGGCTCCAGCCAGCTCCTGCAGGTGAGGGTGCACCATCATTTCCGGATCTTGACCTGAGAGTATGGGGTCTCCTGGGCCTGAGGGTTGTGTGGTTTCATGTTGTGGAAACTGAGAGCAGCGTAGTGGAGCTCATGCTCTGAGGGGGAGGTGGCCTGCTCTGTGGGCAGGTGGTGGTAGGAGGGTGCATTCAGGTGACCCTGAGTGGGAGGAGAGAGGGGTGTCCGAGCTGGCCTTTGGGGTCTGAAGATGGGTACCTGGGGCTTGGAGGGTCTTATTCATTTATCCATTTCACACCAATTTCCTGATGATTCACTCACTTATTCATTCACTCATTTACCCATTTGTACCATTAACAAATTTTAATCATAAAAGCTTGTACTTATTACTAATCTCATGTAATTCTTATCACCTCTCTCCATGGATATGACTGTTATCCCATTTTACAAATAGGAAAGTTGATCTCATGTTCCTCCCTACTGTTTTGACACCACTCCTAGGAAGTTGTAAGTTATAAACATTGTTCACATTGTATTTCTGTTGGACTCGCTGATGTTAATGGCAGGAGCACAACAGCTGTGAGGGGAATGTTTGGGAAGGGGAGATGGAGTAGGGGACACTGAGTAATACTTGGGGGCTCTGCCGAAAAGCAACCAAAGGAAAATGGCAATGAAGGAGAAGAGCGTTGCTATAAGAAAAATGGGACAGGATTTGGCCAAGACAGGCTCTTGGGGAGGCAGGAGAGGACATTTCTCAGACCTGAGGGGCAGTGCCAGGAAACCTGGGGGAGGGTCAAGTTTGGGGGCAGAGGAGGAACACCTGTATTCACCACAGGAACACTGGGTGGAATGTGGCCCCTGGTACTCACCTGGGAGTTGCCTTCCTGGCTCTCTGCCTTTTCTGTCCATTTCTTCCTGAAGATCCTCAGTCTGAGGACAAAGACAGAGCCTTTCAGCCCAGCTGGCTCGCACCTGGGGGCCTGGCAGGGCTCGCAGAGGCAGGTGTGGAGGCTGCTCCCTGGCTGCAGGGACCAGGACAGGAACACACGTCCCTCCTCCTAGACAGCTGCAGCCAGGTGATGGGAACACAGTGCACCTGGCCAAGGTGCCAGGAGGCTGACTTCCTGACTCTGCCTCAACTAGTGGCACTCTTCCCAGATATATCACCCTGTCATAACTCTGGGCTTTCAGGTTAGGAGATTCTTTGTGTCCCCGCCCCCACACAACACCAACTCCACCTCCTGAGTCCTTCGCCCAGCTTGGGGCCTTCACCCACTCACGTGATGAGGCCGAAGCAGACAGCCAGCAGGCCTGTGGCACCAGCTCCCCCAACAGCCCCCTGAATCACTCCTGTCCTATATCCTGGTCTCCCTGCAGGGATGAGACACCTGGGGTGAGTTCCTGTTACACTAAGCATGTATCTGAGACCGCGCCTTCTCGAATCCATGCTGTCGACTGTGCCCGCACCCATCCAGGACTACTTTGTCCCCCACCCCTTCATAAGACTGCAGCATCCAGGTTGCCCAGCCCCCTCCCCAGCCAAATGTCTCAGGGGCCTGGACTCCAGTGTCCCTTTGCCCAGAGTCAGGACACTTTCTCTCCCACTCAGTGTCTTCTAGGGTCCAGAGCTGTGTGCCCCCTACCTGAGCTTCCCCCCTCACACCTTACCTGATACCAGCAGGACAGTCACTGTCTCTTTCCCATGGGCATTCTGGGCCTCACATGCCAGCCTGAGGTTGGAAGTAAGCTCCCCACGGACACTCAGGGAGCTGTTGGCCCAGGGCTTTGCTGAGTGGAAGGTAACCTTCTGGGAGACATTGCTGTGGTTCCCCTCCAGCAGCCCCTCCCCCAGCTGCCAGCTCAGGGAGGGGGCCGGTTGAGTTTGGGAGGAGCAGCTGCAGTGGAGACCCTCATCCTCCCAGGAGCAGGAGGGTCCCTGCAGCTGTGGGGGGTCTATGGGGAGAAACGGGAGGGATCAGAGGAGCCTCTCTCCTCCCCAACACCCCAGGGCCCTGCCCCAGATGTATTCTTACTCACTTTTCACACTGAGGGTCACAGAGGCTTCCAGAGAGACTGACTCGTGCTGCTGAGCTCGGCAGATGTATTTCCCATGGTCCTCCAGTTCCACCTGGGGCAGCTTCAGGACCCCTGGGTCTGTGGACTCAAGGGTCAGGCTGCCCCGGGTCCACCTCATATGAGCAGGTGGGTTGCTGTCAGCTTTACACACCAGGTGCAGGGACTTGCCCTCCTGGACTTGGAGAGATGAGCCGTTGGACAGAACTTTATATCCTGGAAAGACAGAGAGAGAGTCCAGCCCCCCTGTGGTTAGGTCTCCCTCTGTCTCCCTCTCTCCCTGCCTGTATGTCCTTGCCTCTCTGTGGCTCTTTCTCTCAATCCTCCTCTTCATCTATGTCTCTCTCTCTCTTTTCATTTCTGTATTTCCCTTTGTCTCTGTCTCTACTCACTTCTGTGCACATGCTATCTCCCCCCTCCATACTTTATGTACATCAGTTTCTTCCCTTCCATAATCCCATGGACTCTACCATCTGGGCTCAGCCCCAAGGGGACAGGGCTAGGGGCAGATACTACATCCTCTGCTAGAGGTTGCTGAGGGTTTGGCTGGACCATCCTGGTCCCCACAACCCCTGCTTTGGCTTCTAGTGCAAATGCAGACCCCATATTTCTCTGGATGAACACTGTCATTTATGTCTCTCAACAGAGGTACACTATGACCTGCCCATTTCAACTATGTCTCACACTTCACAGTCTCATGGACAAGATGCTCCAAAAGCAGGTTCTCACAGAGCAGTAAGGTATAGTTTATGATGGGGGGTTAACTGTGTTGAAGGAGTCCTGAGGACAGCACTTGAATGAGACTGGCAGGTCAGGGAGGGCTTTCTGGAGGAAGAGAGGTTTAAGCAGAGCTCAAGAAAGGATGGCAGCAGGCCAGGCAATGGTGCTGGCATGGAGGGCATGGTGAGAGGATGGCATAGACCACAACTACCACCAGGGTATGGCATGGCCCCGCCTGCTCCCAGAGAAGCAAGAAGTCCTCTGAGGAATGATGGAGTGGCCATGTACAGGCTGTTTACATGAGGCTAGTGGAAGAAATTAAGGGAGATTTAAAAAATAGCATTACAACTTACTCATTATAAAAATAGTCATGGGATGTAAAGTACAGTAGAGGGAATATAGTGAATAATATTTTAATAACTATGGATGGTGCCAGGGGGAGCTAAACTTATTTCTTTGTAAGTTCTATGAACATCTGACCACAGTGTTGTAAATCTGAGAACCTCATGCAGTATCCTGTGAGGGGTAGGGGTGGAGAAGGCCAGTTTGTAAGCTGAGAAGGAGTGAGTGGGAGCCTTCTCACCTCTTCTGTCCTCACACCTGGCCCAAGTCTGTCTCCCATCTGAGTTCTGAAATCCCAGCTCTGCTCTGAAGGATGCAGGGAAACCCACTTCCACCACCCCCAGACAGAAGATGCACCCTACCTGTGCCTTCTTGCCAGGACATGATGGTTAGGTTCTGGAGTGCATCTGGACAAGCAGACAGACATAATTATTCCCTGTTCAATGGCAGAAAGGTGGGCAATGTCCCTTTCCATCCACAAACTGTATACACAGGAAAGGGGTGAAATTGGGTGTCCTCTTTCCTTCCTCTGCATCCTGGGTTTGCAGGGCCCAGCACCCTAACCCCCAACTCCCTCCACCCCCAGGGACTGCTGTCCTGACCAGGTACTCACAGGTCACATTGAGCTGGATGGTCCTCTGCCCTTCCTGGCCACCCTCCAAGGACACCTGACAGGTGAGGTTGGTGCCGTGGTGCTGGGGCCCTGGTGTGAGGGTGAGCACTGAGGAGTTAGGAGTCCAGGGACCCAGGGATGTGAGGTTGGGCCCCATCCAGGAGAACATGGGTGGTGTCTCTCTATCACAGGCCCATGACACTGTACAGGTAATGTTGTTGGGGTGGCCAGACACCAGTGTCCCCTGGATGTGGATGTCAGGTACCAGATCTGAAGAAGAGGGAAACAGAGACTGAGGCCCTGGAGGTGGGGTCCCCGAGTGTGCCCCTAACTATTGCCTCTGTGCCAGGCCTGCCCCTGGATCCACTTCCCATAAGTCTTCCTGAGTCCTTCCCAGGATGAGGAGAATAAGGTTCCTTCCCAGCCCAGGAGCCCTCAGGACCCAGCCATGTGTCCTCACCTTGACCCCATTTCTTACCTGTCACATGTACAGAGAGCATGTTGTTTTTGTAATTCTCTTTCACATAGGACCCTCGCTCTATCCTAAAGAAGTATCTCCCTGTGTCCCTTTTCTGTGCATCTCTGATATGCAGGGAGCAGTTGGAGGTCCGGTCCCCCATGAGGTGGAATCGGCCCCTGGTCTCATTCCTCACTTTACAGTTGGGGTTGTTTGTGGCCACAGGAGGATCCGTGTTTGTGTTGGCCCCTTCCTGGAACCAGTAGCCATGAGCTGGGTCAGACTCATTCCAACCTTTATTGGGATAGATCACAGTGCAGGGCACGAAGATGCACTGGCCCTTCTGCACTGTCACGGACTCCTTCACTCGCAGCTGGAATTCTTGATGCTGAGTCACGGACCCTGCAGGGAAAGGAGAGTCAGAACAGCCTCCACCCCAGCCAACACACTCTCCCCTGGGGCACTCACCTGCCCACAGCAGGGCCAGCAGCAGCAGCACCAGCATTTCTGGAGTAACTGTCAGGGTCTCAGTGTCACAGGACTGAGAGGAAGCCCCAACAGGAACCCAGGGGGAAAGGAAAATGGTGATGATCAGGGAGGAGGAAGTGGGCAGCCAGTGTGCTGGAGCTGGCCCAGCCCTTGGAGAATAAGCACTTCCACTTTCCAGATCACGCCCCGTGAGGTCCCCATGCACCAAGGAAGACCCACACCACCACACTCAACTCCCTGTCCTCACCTATCCCTCTGGCACTACTGTCCACACAAGAAAGCAGACACAGCTTCTGTACAATACACAGGATCAGTCCCCTGGGAGCAGGACTCAGGACAGACTCAGAGGGGCAAGGGAAGGCAAGAAATGTGACATAGTCCTCCAGGAGACAGGTAGTGATGGATGAAGGAATGAACACACAGCCCACCAGAGCATCTACTCTCTCAGGGGCGTGGAGTGAAAGTGGAGACAGTGGCAGCCTTTGTCTCTGTCCCTGAGAGTGACCCTAATACCCAAGGAGGCAGCGGGGCCCTAGTCCATGGCAGCTCCCAGTGGTCCAGGGTGTGTTGATGGGAGCACAAGCCAGGGTGTGTAGGAAAACCAGCTGCTCTGGGAAGTCGACAGTGAGCTCCCAGGTGATAATGGCCACAGAGGACAGAACCAGGCCACCAAGGGGGTCAGCAGCCTGTGACCTCACAGGTGATCCTCAGCTTTCTGGCCTGCTTGGAGCCCCTCTGCCCAGGCATCCCTGGTGTTGATTCAGGGCAAGATGCCAGCACAGTGTGCCTTTGGAGTCAGGTGGGCCTGGCTCTTCAGCCCTCCAAGCCTCACTTTCCTCATCTGTCACAGGGAGGCATCACAGTCCTCAACCCTTGTGATCTGTGGGAGAACCCTAGGTAAGGGCAGGTGCTGATCCTCCCCAATCTTTATTGGTCCCTCTGAGTTCAGCCCTCGGTGGACATCTGATGGCCAGCTCAGCCCTGGGCTTCCTCAGTGGAGACCTCCAGGGGGCGGTCAGGGATGCGGGCTCTGCAGCCAGATTGCCCCAGGTTCCAATGTGGCTCCCACCTGGCTCCCTCATGCTCACTGTGCTGCCTTGGGAAAGGCCTCACTGCCCTGTGTACAGCTGCAAGCCCAGGCTCACAAAGTGCTGTGGGCTGAATTCTGTCACCCCCAAATTTCATGTGTTCATGTCCTGACTCCTACTACTGTTGAATGTGAGTTGTTTTGGAAATGGGTCTTTTATGGGGATTAAGATAGAATGAGGTCATTAGAGTAGACCCTCATCCAATAGGACTGGTGTCCTTATAAGGAGAGTTTAGGGCACAGACATGCACAGAGAAGAGACCACAGGAGAAGAACCATGTGCAAGCCAAGCAGACAGGTCACAGAGGGGACCACTCCTACCAACACTTTGATGTTGAACTTCCTGTCTCCAAAACTGTGAGAATATGAATTGTGTGGTTTACGCCCCTAGTGGCAGCACTGTGTTATGACAGCCTGAGCCAGGTAACACAGGGAGTTGCCAAGAAGATGGAGGTTTTCCTACAAGAAAATTGTGGGGAGCAGCCTGGCCTGGCCCACAGTGGACACAGTCCAAATGGGCGGGTCTGTAGGACAGGGCCACCCTGCGGGAGGGATGAGGAGAAGGAAGGCAGGGACTTAGTAAGGGGAGGAAACCTGGCAAGGAAATCCCTCTGTTTCTCCTCCACCTGCTCTGCACTCTGCAGGGCTGCAGCTTCAGCTCCACCACCCTGCTCCTCCTCTCCCCGGGGCAGGACCATCTCCCCTGGGCTTTGCTCAGGCGGCTCCCTCTGCTGTAGAGGCCTGTCACTGCACCTGCACCCTGGGTACCTGCTTCCCTTCTGTGGAACGGGCTGTTCTTGAGGGGCCGGGCTGAGGTGAGGCAGACCCTGCTGACCTGGAGTGTGGGGTAAAGCCAGAGTCACTTCCACACTAGTCAGGGCTGACCCAAGGAGAGGGTGGCCTGGGAAAACCTGAGGAAGGAGGGAGGGTGGTGTGGGGGATGGGAGAGGTGAGCTGGAGTGTGGAAGGGGAGCAGGGTTGTATGGGAGGCCAGTCACCTCATTTCACAGAGCAGGACCAGAGCCAGAGATGCTGGTGGGGCAGAGAGGGGGTCCCGCTGTATCCTACTTGTTTCAGTCAGTCCTTCAGCATCTATGCTCCAGCATCCCAGGGAATCTGTCTCCTCCTCTCCCCTCTAAAAAGACAGATAAAAAGCTAAATGAAACCTGATTTCTCCTAAGGTCATATAGTAGCTGTAAAGTGTGATAAAGTCCCCCTTTGAGTGGTGAATGCTCTCCTCCCGTCATGCTCTGAGCCTGGCTTCATTATTCGCATCTAAAAAGTTAGCACAGCATCCAGAACATAGTTGACTTCTTTATGGGAGAAGAGCCCAAATCTGAGGAAGGCAGCACTCCGGAGGTCCCAACACCGGGGACCAGCATCACTGACCTAGGAGTTCATCAGACACTCACCCAGCCTCTCCTACTCTGCTCTGGGCCTGATAGAGTCTGGCCTCCAGGGGGTGCTCCATCCACAAGGAGACACTGAACCCCTGGGAGACTCAGGGGAGCTGCCACTGCCAGTGAAGCTGAAACCGGGACCCTAGGCGAGCTGAGATACCAGCCTCCCAATGCTGCAGAAGGGCCTGACTCCAGAGGCTTATGTCCCAGTTTGGGGCCAGGAGGGGAAAGGTGTGGAGGTGGATGGATCTGTGGGGGAGCCAACAATCAGAAGTAACTGAGCTGGGCTCCTGTCTCTGCTCCATCTGCGTCCTCTCCTGTTCACTCTCAGGCTTTGTCCATCCTGAGGAGGATGTCTGTCTGCCCCACCTAGATGAGCCGCAGGCAGGAGGATGTGCTTGCTAAGGCTCTCTGTCTCCTGCCCTCTGGATGATTCCTTCAAGTAGTTTGATCCATGCCAGCCACTCCAAAACAAAAGTCCTGCAGAATAGGGAACTTTCTAACACAAAGCTCCAGCTCTGCACCTCCCCCGGCCAGACATCCTTCCCCTCCTGCCACTTTCAATGTATCCACTCAGTTATGAGTTGTTCAGGAAGATTCAGAACCTCACCATCACCATGACACTCTTTCAGCCACCAACCCACATACACGTCAGTCACACCCCTGCCACCACCTGAACTCCTCTTGCCCCTTCTGGCCTCCCCAGACTGAATTGACCTGGTTCCACCTCCCTGTCATACTGTCATACTGTCCCCATTCTCCATCATTGCAGTACATGTTTATCATGTGAGAATGGGCTCAAATATCACCACCTCACACAAGCTGCATTCACTGCCTTTCCACCTCCTCCAAACCCCTGCCCTTTCCCACAGGTTGAATTAGGGCCATGGTTTATCAACTTCAGTGTTGTTGATATTGGGGCACTTGTAGCTGAGTGGGGTTCTGGTTGCTTAAGGGTGGGCTATCCTGTGCATTGTAGGATGTTAAGCAGCATCCCTGGTCTCTGCCCTCAACATGCCAGGAGCTTCCCCTGCCCTATTTTGACAACCACAGTATCTCCAGACATTTCCAAATGTCTGTGGGTGGTAAAAACCCCCTGATGAGAAAGAACCACGGGGTGAGAGTCTCCCGCCTCTGCCTTCAGAGTCACTTTGGCAGATTGACAAACTTTCTCCAGTTCTTCTTTTCAAGGTCACCAGAGAAACCTTTGCCCCTGGCTAGTTTTAAAACAAAAGTGCATTTCAGCTCCTTTGCATCATGTTCATGAGGGAAACACTGAGAAATCCTTACATTTCTCCCAATTTCTTTCTTCTCTAAACATTTACTGCATGTCCACTGTACACCAGAACCAGTAAGAGAAAGAAGACACAGTTCCTACCTCAGGGGAGCTCAAATTCATGGTTTGGGGTTTCAGGAAGGCACAGAAATATGTAAACTTAAAGCACAGTTTGATGAGGTTCCCATGACCTGGGGGTCCAAGGACCAGAGCTCTGGCTTTTGCCCTCAGGGGTGGGAAGGGAGTGAGAAAAAATTTCTCAGGAGAAACCCCTCTCAAGATGTATCTTGAGGGGAAAGCAGGAGTTGGCAAAGCAGAGACAGGAGGGAAAGCGTCCCTGGCAGTGGTGGCATCAGGCACAAACATGAGGCTGGGAGAGGTCCTGGCCACTGTCTAGGCAGGAGCAGTTTATGTGTGATAGCTGGAGCCTGGGGTAAAGGAGTCAGGGTGGGGTCATGCCCCTGGATGTGTGTCTGGGGTCTGCTCTCCAAGGGCTCCACAGCTGAGCAGAGGAGGCTGGCCTTCAGCCTTCAGTCTGTCATGTAAAAAACAAATCTGGATCTAGATAAGGAGAGACTTTATTGAAAAGGCTATGGCAAGCCCTGGGAGTGGCTTAGTTGGTTGCAGCCAACCAAGGATTGCTGATTCAATTCCTGGTCAGGGCACATGCCTAGGTTACAGTTTTGATCCCTGATTGGGATGCATATAAGAGGCAACTGATCAACATTTCTCTCTCCCTCCCTCCCTCTCTCTCTCTCTCTCTCTCTCTCTCTCTCTCTCTCTCTCTCTCTCTCTCTTAAAAACATATCCTCAGGTGAGGATTCTTAAACAAGGATTATTGCAATAAGGGGAGTGAGATTATTGCAAAGGGGGGAAGGAAGCTATAGCAGGAAGAGAAGAAAAACTGTGCACACAACAGGTAAGGAACTGCCTACAATAAGGATAAGGATGGGTGGAAGGTGGGGACCCCATGGAGCCTGAATGCTATAGACTGAATCAGATTCTTCCAATCCATATGTTAAAGTACATGCTAGTTATATCAGAATAATTGAGATTAAAGTGGTTCATGATAGTGTACCTTGAAGATTGATGGCTTTATAAGAAACAGAGAAAGCAATCTCCCCTTCCTCTTCCCACATCCAAAAAAAAAAAAAAAGAAAAGAAAAAGGCCACGTGAGGACAGGGAGAAGTCGGCCATCAGCAAGTTAGTAGGTGGGCTCATACATGGAACCAAATCTGCTGACACACAAACTTGGACTCCCCAGCCTTAAATGCATTTCTGTTGTGTGAAATGCCAGTCCTTGGTATGTGGTTATGAAATCCTGAGCTGGGTGTACCCTGGGTGTACCT